AATTTTATGTAGACTGAAAACTAGGTGAGGTGTAGAGAAGATTTTTCCAAGAGATAATCACGTTGAGATTTACAGACTGAGTGGGTATTAAACTAGGGAAGGAGAGGGGAAAAATTCCAGGTAGAAAAAAATTAATATCTTGAAATGATTCGAGGCATGGAAACCTGGCATTTTATAGGAAACAACAACAACAAAAAAGGCCTACAAGATGGAAACATAAAATAAACTAGAGAAGCAAGTAGGGAGTAAACCATGCAGGAATTGTGGTAGGAATTTTGGTCTATGTGAAACATAATGGGAAAGTTTTAAAGTATTTTCATCAGGGACTTAACAGGATTGGATTTGCACTTTTAAAAGATCATCTTGGCCAACTGAAGTATTGAAAAGAGATCAGAAATGCAAAAACTAGAGAAGATACAGGCCTAAACACTGGGAAGCTACTGTTATCCTCTGGGTGGCAGTGACAGTGAAAAGTAAAAAAAAGAACATGATATATTTTAGGGAATAAAAACAAATCAATAGAACGTTTTATTTCCCTCTTCTCAATTTGTTAACCTAATTAAAGCTCATCTTTCTATTTTTCTTGTGACTTAACTAGTTCTTGCTTCTTGGATTTGTTTAACTTAAATCAACTACCTATATTTAATAGCTAGAAAACCTTGTTCCCATCAGAAGAATTGAGAAAAATATAAGCAAGTAATTGTGCAATATTTACTTAAATGTAGTTATTCCTTCCATTTTACCACGGCATGCTCGAAATTCTTGCTTAGGTTTAAGACTCTGTGGTGGAAGAACATTGCCATACATGGGATACTTTTCCAAGTATTCAGTTGTGGGGCAAGACAAGCCAAAATTTTCATAAATCCTTGTGGTTCCATGTGGACAATGATGTCGCCTGTGCAAACAAACAAACTGAAAGATTATTTTGCCTTAAAAAAACACTTGGTGTGATTATTAATCAGAGACAGACCTCCAATGACTCAGAACACATAAACTTTAGAGCAGCTTTCCTAGACAACCTGTTCCCTCTGCAATGATGTTTAAAAAAATAAGTATCCTTACATGGTAGAAATATTGTCTTGTTAATTTACAGACCTGAGAAGCCAACAAGTAATGTCCTAGACCCCATGCAGACCAGTTGCATATATAACTTAGGTTTCACCTATTTCATGTACTCACATGAGACTCTGATTTAGAACATAGCTACATAAGGAGAAAAGCAGGGCACCACATTCATTTTCCTTGTATGGATTGAGGTAGAGACAAAGAGAGTTTGGGGCCAGTTAGGCAGTCCCCTGATTTTCAAGGTGATTCCCTGACTTGGCAGCTTTCTGACTTTGGTAGAATTGAGTGGTTCTGGAGGCTACAGCTCTGTTACAGTGTTCTGATTGTGGCAGAGTTAGCAGTTCCCTTCATGGTTCAGGGCTACAATGAGATTTTCAGGTACTTTTCTTCCTTGGAATCTTGGTTTGAAAATGGTTTCAGTTCTTTCAAGTGAAATTACATATATTCCTTATATACAGTTAACTTTTGCCTACACTCATCAGAATAGATTATATTCCCCATAACTAAGAGCCCTAAATAACACATTAATGCTTTTAAAAAAATGGACATTTTGGTCAACCACAAATCACATATACAGTGATAGTCCAATGAGATTATGTTGTCTGGTGACATCACAGCCATCTTAGTTTGTGTAAGTATATTCTGTGATGTTCACACAATGGTTAAATCAGGAGATTTAATAGCTATATTTAATATGATCAATTTCTCAGAATGTATCCTCATCCTTAGGTGATATATGAACAGATATCATATAAACTAATAGGATAGAGTTGTTGAAAAATATGAGGTTGACCTCTATGAATGACTGTTGGAACATGGTAAGACAGGAAATAGTAAAGTGGAGGGCGTTGTGGTAGAATAGTACGCAATGAATACTCTCTTTTTAAAAATAAATAAAAACTATGTATGAAAAACAAGTGTTAAAAAATATACAGGGTTTTCACTATAATTTTTCAGTGCACAATTAGTAAAAAAGATAAAACCTTTGAAAAATAAAACTAATAAAACCGCAAACAAATAAAAAAGTAAAACCACATTATTCTGAAATAAGGTCAGTTTCTCAGGTCTGGTATCATTTGGAGACTCCAGGCCATGGGGGAGGGTTGTAAAGCTGAACCGAAAGAAAATGTATATACCCTGCAGATGAATCATGGTGGACGGCATGAAGAATTATAGCGTAAGGAAAACAGGTGGTGTCACAGGATGTCCAAGAAACTCTGAAGTCAGAAGGATCAAGAGATTAGGGAATATCAACTGAACATGGTGGTTGTGGTAAAGTGCTGAAGTGATTTAGTGTCACACATAGTCAAGACTCTTAGAAGTAGAAGCAGGGTACACAGGTCATGCAAGCATAGAGGTGCTGTTATAGCTGAATGAGTTACAAGAACCAAGTCCAATCTTTGGAATTTGTCATGTTTTTAGTTTTATTTTCCATGAAAAAATACATTCACATTTTAACAAACAGTGTTGAAGAATTATAAAGGAAAGAAAAAGCCTTTAATCCTGATATTTCCAAAATTTTTCTTATTTCTGCTTTTTAAAGTTTTATAGGAGGCTATAATCTGTAACTTTTTATGAACTTTGCTATATTAGCTTAAATTACTAACTTTACAAATTTTTACAAGATTGAAGATAAAGATTTAGTTAATTTATACCATTCTCATTCACTTCCTACATACATGGTCATTCATTTATTCAGCAAATATATAATGAGTACAAATCTCAGTATTGAGGACAGTATTAAGAAAAGATAGAAAATTCTGTGTCTTACTTGAATTTACACCCTTGATAGGGGTGAAGAGAAAAAAATATGTAGAATATCCTAAGTACAATGGGAAAAGAAAAGAAGCAGGGAAGTGGGATATAGTGTGGAGGTGGGGCAAAGTATGACATTTGAACAAAGGTTTCAATGACAGACTCTTTCATCATATTTGAGCAAAGATCTGAATGAGCCACACTTTTTTCTAGCATCCCCCATTTCTGATTTCTAACATAAGAGAACCCCACCATAGTTAACAAGCATAAAAATATCATGTACGCATTGTATAAAGAAATACATTAGAGATGGATGGTTGCTTCAACTTTTTAAAGAATAAAATAGATGTGTGAAACTATTAATTTTCATAGTGTAAGTGAAAAAAATAAAAGACTCAACCAGCAAATGGACATTTAGCAGAAACAGGTCAAAGCTTCCCTGAAAAGGTCTTCTGATGATCTTAATCTTCTAGAGAAAGGAAATTTATTGAAATATTAACAAACTTGTTTTCTTGTTCTTTTGCCTCTTTTATATCAAGCAGGTAGTCAGGACCTTTATATAATCCCTTGTTGAAGAGATTTCAGCAGGAGGGAGAAGTTGCTTCAAGTCAACAAATTTTCCTGCTTTTTGCAAAAGAAACAGTTCATGGAAGAGATGAAATAATGCATTTCTAATGGGAGGTGAAAGATAGTTGTCTTTTAGGTCACAAGAGGAAAAGGATGGTCTTGAAACAATCACCACATAAATAAATAAAAGAAGGAAGAGTAAAAATCTCCCTTCTGCTGCCAAACCGAGTGAGAAGTTAAAAGGCAGAGGAGAAGGGGCTCTGAGAAGGGTGAGGAATCTTTGCCAGTGTCAGTGTCTCAGGAAGTGTCCAGATTTCAAAAGAGATGGTTGAGTGGAGCCTTGTAACTACAAGTTTGTAGCTTCCTCAAGGATTCTTACACACGAGAGTATAAGAATAAATCTAGCAGAGATCCTGCTCTTAAAAGAAATATGTGAGCTTCATTAAAGGACTTTTCAGTGGGAGATCATACCAATGTTCAAAGGTCAGAAGGAACTCTTTTATTGGCAATGCTTTAGTTCCTTGGATCATTATACTGCTTGAAGAAAATGTAGCCCCCGACACAATGAAGATTGAATTTTCTGACATAAGATGGGAAGAAACTTAGGTTGATTATAATTAAAAAAAAAAAACAAAAACTTCTTGCACAGGAGAGTTTGAAGATTCCTATCTCAAATGTCATATATTAACTAATCTATATGTAATTATAAAGTGTTTATTATGAAAATAGTAGACAAACTGCTTTCCATCAGGTGTTTTCCCTTTTAAGGGTATTAAGAAATAGCAAGGAATTGACATATTTATCTAGCAAATAATGATCTCATCCCTGGGTCAACAGTGAAGCTGGGGAAGGAAGGAAAAGAGTGTGTTTATAGGTAGTGGAAGGTTGTTAGGCAGGACTCACAGACGAGTTCTGGGTTTCGGATGGGGACTACAGCCTTACATGTCAGGCAGATTCCAAATGAGGGCCGCCTGGACACAATGGGAATATGGGAATATGGTTTGGGTTGGAGGATGGGAAGCTGGGGATGAAAGAATGTGTAATACTGGTTGCCAACTAATGGCTTTGACCACTGTTCTTTTAAATAAAATAAAATAAAATAAAGTAAAAAATAATAATAATAATAATAATAATTATTATTATTTATTATTATTCTGGTGGGGCATGCACTCACCAGTCGGATCCACCGCTTACCAGCCTTACAACCGCCATGGGCTTCACTTACTGTTTACCTGGCCCAGATGCTATTCCAATTTGCATAAAGAAATTGGAAACTAGTTTCTAGCTACAAAGAAGAAACACTGTACCCCAACCCAGCCAAAGAGGGGGCGTCGCTGAGCCGCTGCTCCCGGTGTGCGGGGGTCAAGGTGGGGGTACCCGAAGGGCCACTGGGTCCCCTAAGGTCTCCCGGCCCGCCGCTATGCCAGCCATTCTTACCCGCAGGTACAGATCTGACACAAACACTTGCTCCTCATGTTTTCGGCTCGCTGCTAGATCCGCAGCGCTCAGCACCCGCAGATTTTTCACCTCTATCTACGGCGCCCACCGTTGTCTAGGCGACCGCGGGATCCCGGCAACGGACGCGGCGCCGGCTTCCGGTGGCGCCGAGACGCCGGCGGGTCAGAGGTCGCGCGTCAGCCAGCCCCGCCCCCAGAACGCAGGCGTTCAGGCCTGCGGAGCCCTAGCTGAAGCGTGCGGTGTTGGGCAGAGAGCTGGAGCTGGTGAGGAGCCCCCCCCCCGCCCCCCCCGCGTGCTGGCGGTAATGAGGGACTTGGGCCGAGGGGACGGCGCGGGGAGACCGGGGTCATGCGCCGACGCGGCGTGCATCCAGCGGTAGCTCCCACCCGGGGCCAGAATTTTTTCCGTGTGGACTTGGGGTCCTTAAAATTTTCAACATCAAACCCTACGAATCTGGGGCCCCTCGAAGATGAAGGGCAGGTGGAGTTGAGACTTTTCATTTGAAAAGGGAAGAAAGATGGGCAGTGCACCTGTTTGGTTCATAAGCACGTGACTCAAAACTTTTTCAGGCTCTGTACGCAGTATAAAGCCGAGTGTTTTACCGCGGATAAAAGGGAGCTAGAATATTAGAACCAGGGATTTAGGGGAAGGGAGAGACGTCAACATCTTCTCTTCTTGCTGCATTTGACCCTTCTTATGGTTGTCGTTGGCCTGGAAGAGTTGGTCAGAGTACGAATCCATGGGTGGGGCTACTGGTGTCACTGCACCCAGCACCCAGGAGCTCCTTGATTCAACACAGCCTTCCCATCCAGAAGGATGAATACACTCCATAAGTACAGTTTATTGACTTTCAAGCTGGTCTTGGGCCTGGATTGGTATGTCTCATCTATAAACGTTCATTTGAGTCTTGGTTTAAGGGATCTGAGAAATCTTTTTCAGCTCCCAGCACTTAAATTTCTTTTTCCCCTGCCTGGACCTTTAGCCCTTGTGTCATTTGTAATACATCTTTTATTTTTAACCACAGGAAGTGAGCAACCATGGTGCTCAATAGTTTGGATAAAATGATTCAACTCCAGAAAAACACTGCTAACATCAGGAATATATGTGTTTTGGCTCATGTTGACCATGGTAAGAACCTTTTTTAAATGGCTATTTTTCATTAATAGACAAGGCATGTTCAGTAAATTGAACCTGTGGGCAGTCGGAGAAGTAGGTCTTACTCCTTTTAAAAGTTTTTTTTGTTTTTTTTTTGTGATGTCAAGGACGCATATGATATGAACATGGTTAACTATTTATTAGCATTTTTCTATATAGTATGTCAACTTGTTCCTAAATCAGAACTTCAGTTTTTGTTTAAATATGAAAAACTTTTGAAATGACTTTGTTTGTAAAACAGCTGTAATCTTGATATTGTGTCCTTAGAGCCTTTGTTATGTGATCCTATTTAATTCATCAAATATTTATTGAACATCTGCTAAGTTCAAGGAATTTTGGTAGGTATATCAGGACACAGACATTTATGAGTGGGACACCTGTCCCATATCCTATTGAGGAAGCTTTAGGAATGGAGCAGGCAATATGAGAAAAAGTAGACTGTGACCACTGAGAAAACTAGAGGATTGGGAAGCTAGAGGTGGGTTAACCCACTATGTACCAGAATCCCACATATAGGACAAAATTTTTATTGGTGTCCTATATATGGGATGCTGGGACATAGTGAGTTAAGAAAAGGTTTCACAGCATAATTAATATCCAGAGATGATCTTTGAAGGCGGTCTGAAGATGACAAATGGAGACAAACATTGTAAGTGGCAGTGTGTCAGCTTGGGAAGAAGAAAATACATGTGGCTGAAGCCCAGGACACTATAAATGCAAGAATAGCTAAGCATGATACATGTGATTTACATAGACATTGCTGTAACACCATAGCCCTGCTTCATGCTAATCCTGCTATTGGTTTCAGACCCCTTCTGAGTTCTGGTTGCTGAGGCAAAATGATTGGAAAGGGCATGTGAAATAAAACTTATATACCATCCTATAGGTGAAGGAGTAGTACATAGAGGTGAAGGGGCAGGCTGGGTCCTATGTCATAGAACTCTTCATAGCCACTGGGCTACATGTAAGTTAGGGGTTAAGTGCTTCAGCTCTGGAGTTAGACATCCTGAATTTATTTTCAACTTCATTTTTAAGTTTCTTTGCCTTCTTGAATTTCAGTATGCTGCATATGTATACCAGATGAAAATCATAGCTATCTTATAGGGATTAAATGTGATGATAATGAGAATCCCTTGGCAGGAAGTTAAATACTTCATTATGAAAATGATCATTAACATTTTTTTTATGAGGACATGGGAGCCATTAGCAGAAAAAAAATAAAACTAAGTTTGATATAGTTAAATAGTAGATTAGATTAAACTGGTAGAGTGCTTAGGATTGATTGAAAGGCAGAAAAGAGGTTAGGTGGTTGTAGATCACCTTATAGGTGAAGCCAACTGAGAATGAGTTTTACATACAAATCCAGTGACTTACCCTGCTGTCCCCAGACCTTTTGTAATTATACGACACACATTTTGAGGCCACAAAGTCTAATAAGTTGTTTATCTTTGTGAATTAAATCATGTGAAAAGTCAGTGGTGTGCATGTTTGCAGAGCAATTTATTTTAAATTTCCTCTTTAAAATTGTTAAATGGGTACTATCTTAGAAAACCTTTAATTCATATTCATTCAACTATTTATTGAGTCTTTTTTAAAAAAAAATACTGTTTTAGTTACCAGTGAACATAATACCTTTATTTTATTTATTTATTTTTATGTGGTGGTGCTGAGGATCTAACCCAGTGCCTCACATTACCACTGAGCCACCCCCCAACCCTTGTATGTCTTTCATATGCCAAGCATTACTCTGATCCTAGAGTTACAGTCATAAATAAAGCAAAGTCCCTGCTTTCTTGGTACATGGAAAGAGCATGATTTTCATGCCTAGAATGAATTCCACTTTATTGGGTAGCAGGAAAGTGATGCTCTAGTGTTATATGCTAACACATAACCTTCACATGGCAAATAGATAACATATTAATTAAAAGTCTTCAGTATTCCTACTGATTGGTCTCTGGTTTGAATTATTATATGGAATTCATAGTTTTGTTGAAGTTCATGGAGTGTAATAAGGACTTGTCTTGAAGAGAAAATCTTTTCCTTTTGTTAGACCAACCCATCTGTAGTAATTATTATATTCTTCTGGAATTCTTTAAACAAAGTTACTTATGTATATCCCTTGAAATTTTGTAAACTTTAGTGGTAGTCTATTTGATAAAGGTAACTAGAATTATGTACTTAAATATACAAAGAAGTTTTTTTTTTATTATAAAGTAAATTCTAGGTTTATATTTGGATACTGTTTATATATGTTACAGTGTAGATGATTATCTAACACAGCTTATATTGCAATAGTAATAGATATGGGTAAATTTCCTTAGTAAATAAGTATTAACAACTAACACGTACCAATTAGGGCTTGCATGGGGAAACGTGGTGGAAGACTATTGTTCTTGATGATATTGTTAATGATATTTTAATATTACATCTTAATCATATATTGATGATATTCTGTTGTTTCTTGATGACATATTACCTGATATTATACGTTTCAGAGACCTTGAACATGATTTCTGTTGTTATCATTCTGTACTTTCAGGGGCTTCAGTTTATAAGCATGATTAGCTATTGTGAATACTGGATGACTGATATAATAATTGTGATTAACCTGACCAAATTCATATAGGACAGATTTTAGTAGCTATAAAATTTGTCAGTTATGTTCTCTTTTGGATTGGCATAGTGATTACACCACTATGGAGTACTAGCCTCTATATCTTTCCAGATGATATTCTGTTTAGAAGTCTATAAAATTCTTAAAATATATCTTTTGTCTTATGTCATCTGGCATAGGTAAATAAAAGATCCTTGCTAAACTAATTCTTATGATCAGACATCAAATTTGTGAGTAAGTCTATCTCCCAATCCCCTTTAAAAACTACATAGATTTTAATTTATGTTATTTTAACAGGAAAAACTACTCTTGCTGATTGTTTTATATCTAGTAATGGGATCATCTCCAGCCGTCTGGCAGGCAAGGTATGTTGTTATGTTTAATAAACACTTGTCACATTTCAGTGAGTGTACAATATTATAAGCTGTTTGCGGTGTTCTCCAGTGATCTAAAAGAGTATAAAACATAATCCTGCATCTCAGAATCTATTATGCAAGATAAAATAGATGTTGAGAAAAATTGTTATTTTTTATATTGCTTTGTATTACTTTATATAGTACAAATTATAAGGAGTTTTTGTATTAAGTCAAATAATACACAATTGTGAGAGATTTCACAAAGAAGTTCTTCACTGGTCAATGAATTAGGTGGTTTGAAAGGCACAGAAACCATTAAGTGGTGGGAAATAATGTGGATAAGGCTTTTGTGTTATGCTTGATTTGAGTGGACCCCTTGCCTAAGACCAGTGGGAGAGAAAATGTACCAATGGAACATGTCAGATTGCAGAAGATCTTGAAGGTTAACCTAAGTATCATATAAGTGCCATAGGAAGGCATCTTAGGCCTGAGGATCATAATGAAAATAATGTTTTAGGAAATGAATTGAAAAAGATCTTTCTTTCTGGCTGTGAGTTTCTAGCTTGGAATAATTTACTTTGCAGTAGAAAAATAAAGAGATGTTCCTCTTTTTAATGAATCTAGGGTATATGGCTTGCAGGATTTAATCAAGTGACAGGGAATAGATGAGGAGGTGGAGAAGCAAAAGTGAAGTGAATTAATAGAGTAGACAAGGAGAAAGAAAGGTAGAATTGGGCACCTGAGACCATCTTATGAGGTGGAGTATAAGAATGAAGTGCTTGTGCTTTTCCCACCTGGGAACGTAGAACTATAGTCACTCTAAAGTAAGAAGGTGGAAGAAAATAATAAAGTTAGTGAAGCAGAAAATAAACATTTTATAGAAAGGATCATGTTAACCAAAATCACAGCTAATAAATATAAAAATGATGGACATACCATACATTTAGAGTGAACCCAAATACTAACTATGGAGTTTAGTGACATATCAATATTGATTAATCAGTTGCACAAGTATACCATACCATTTAATAACAAAAGATATAAATAACGGAGGAAACTATGTTGTGAGGATGGTTTGTGGGACCCTTTATGCTTTTGAGTCTTTCTATAAACTTAAAATTGTCCTAAAAATATCAAGTCTGCTAATTAAAATTATTAGCAGTGTAGACAATTCATGATTATCACAACTAGAAAATTTGTTTTTAATTTATCATTGTTGAGGCATATGGTACCTTTGGTCAGCAAATGTCCTTACTGTGGCTCACTGTACTTTGGAAGTATATGAAGTATAGTGTATAAAAGGATGTTTGAATGAATTACTTAAAAAATTCATACAGTTGACAAATATCAGCAAGATTCATCAAGAAGAATAGAAAAGAGGCAGAAATAAATTATATTAGGGAAAGAAAAATGCTACAGATTAAAAAAGTTAATGAGGGGCTGTGGCTATGGCTCAGTGGTAGAGTACTTGCCTTCCACTGTGTGGGGCACCGGGTTTGATCCTCAGCACCACATAAAGATAAACAAAGATATTGTGTCCATCTACAATTAAAAAAATATTTTATAAAAAGCTAATGAGATTGATGGCAAAAAGAATCTCATTATTAAGTATAATTGTAGTTCACCAATATACAATGTATATATACACACTCAGGCAAAGATAACAATAGGGTATAATAAACAGCTTTAAATAATCTTACATGTGATGAAATGTAAAAATGGTAACTTAATAAAACTAGACTTAAGAAATAGAAAACTAGAATAATCCTGTAGTATTTTAAGAAATCAAATGGCTGGCAAAAATCCTTATACAAAGAAAAAGCCCAGATGATTTAACTGTCCAGTTCTCTCAGATATTAAAGGAACAAGTAATTTCAGTTCTACTTGAACCATTCAAAAATACAAGGAAGAAAAATTCAACATCAGGGAATACTCTCCAAGTCATATGAATGGAATAACAGACCAAGTCTGTTAAAGATAGTTCCAGACAAGAAAAATCTCATGCCAATCTTATGATTGTGGATTAAAAAATTATTAATAAGCAAAACAGCATTATATAAAGAGTTACTTCTTATAGCCCAATAGATTTAGCTCAAGAATTCAAGATTGACTTAATATGTAATTTTATCATAATAATGGATTAAAGGGAAAAGATCATGAACAATAAGATGCATATGTTGCGTTTTTTCCAGCTAAGGTACATGGACAGCAGAGAAGATGAACAGATCCGAGGGATCACTATGAAATCCAGTGCTATTTCCCTACATTATGCAAAAGGTAAATTAACCAGTGTTTTAAAGAAAAATAGCAATGAATCTTTCTCATCCTCCTTTTCCTTTTTGAATTACTTGCATGCCTCAGTTTCTTTCCTTTATATTCTATATATTTAATGCTGGCCTCTCAAAATGATCTGTTATCAGAGTCAGGCTATCCAGGCTTGGATGCAGTTGGGGACCTCTGATTGTCTTGAGGGCAGAAGACTGACAATTTGCACTTGCCCCTCTTCTCCAGTGATAGTATGGATTTCTTCACCAGGAAAATCAGGAGTCCTATGCTTTGTTGACTCAGCCTTAGTGTTCCATTTCCTGGCTGGACTGGTTCTGCCCCATGGCCTGTTTATTCAATTTAGAATCTTAACTGTGGGTTGCCATGATCAGTACTAGCTTGTTATTTTCAAATGAGGATGTCATTTTAATAATAAACTTCTGGGAATTTACCTGGAAGAAATAGTCAAACAAGTGTGTGAGATACATGTTCACTAATACCTAAAGTTTTGTATTAATGAAGAGAAGTGCCAATAATCTGTCAGTAGGAAAATGATTAAATAAACTGGTATATTCATGCTGTGAAATATGCAGGTGTTATATGCTTGATCTGTGTGTAATTATATAGAAAAATGATGTTAACAGATAAGAAAAAACAAGTTGCAGAATATTTTTTGTAAGATATGAATGCATTTGGGTAATAAAAATATGCATGCAGATAAAGGTATCTGGAAGCATACATACCCAATCCTTCATATTAGTTATCTCCAGGAGCTGGATTATGGCAAAATTTGCACTTTTTCAAAATATTTATATTTGTACTGTTAGAAAACTTTACACAAAATATGTACTTTTGTAATTTGAAGAAAATAATAAAGTTATATTTAATTTCCTTAATGGAGTGGCCTCTGGTTCATCCTTCCTAGTATCATACCTCTGACATTGACACCAAGCCATATACTGTGAGGTGTGGCTATTCTCTTTTACATAGTCTTAAAAATATTTTTGTACCAAACCAAATTTGAAGCTGTTAGGCACATGAATTCCCATTGTTTACTATTAAAGGTAATGCTTAAAAAACAAACAAACAAACAAAAAAAACTACCTCTTTCATTTAAAGGGGTGGATATCTTTACTCAGAGAACCAGAGAATGGGGCAAAGATCTTCACATCCCAAGTTGCTAGGATTATAGGCCAGCAGTGTCATTGCACCCAACTAAGGTCTATTCCTTAATTTTTAATTGTAGATGGACACAATATCTTTATTTAATTATTTTTATGTGGTGTTAAGGATCTAAGTCAGCTAGGCAAGCGCTCTGCCACTGAGTTGCAACCGCAGTCCCAAGGTCTATTACTTCTTATTATTTTATAAACTTCAAGGGATTTGTAGCCTTTTATCTTCTGTATTCATATTATTATTCGGTTTTTACTTGAAAATTCCTCTAGTGTCAATTTTAATTGCTGTGTTCTGGACTTTGTCTCTAGTTACCCTTTTTCCCTTTATTCAGGTTTAACTTATATAATATAAAATTGACCCTTTCCAATTCAATTGTCTTTCTAGTGTAGTATTGTAGGAGAGTGGCCATTGGCTACTGGGAGTTGACTGGTCTAACTTTTTGCCAAGCTCTTTGACTTTGGACAGCTCGTTCTCATATTGTTTTAGATGTTTCCTAGATTGCACAGAACAGAGATTTATACTAGCTTGGAGTGGGATAGATTATTCAAAAAACGTGTGTAAAATGATAAAATATTAATCTTGTTGGAGTGACATCTTGCAGAAATTGGAGCCATATTTTAATTCTGATTCCAAGATGATCCTATAGACTACATTCAGTGAAAGTTTATGGATCCTCCCCCTAGAATTCTACTGTTGTCCTTTGGTTTGGTTGTCTGTTTATATCTCTTATTATTATACTGTGTAAGCATTTGCCTACTTGTCAAATTTTCATCTGTATACACTTCACCTTGTCCCAACTCCTCATTCCTACTGCTACTCCTTACTCCCTTTACTTTTTATGTTGAATACTGCTTTCTCTCTTGTGTTTTTCTGAGCACAGAATTTCAGGAGTAGGCCATGTGCCCAGCTTTTGCTTTTGTGCCAATTCGTTGCAAATGAATTGTTAACAGGACACTTGGGATTTACCCAATGGGTTGGTTGCCCTTGGTTTGGATAATCACCTCCTAGTCAACAGTGAATGTTGGAGTGGAGTCATAAAGTATCCAACATGTTTCTATGTGAACATGGCCTGACTCTTTACAAGGGACTTAGGTAGGCTGTCTCCATAGTTAACAATGCAGAGCCTTATTTTCCAGATCTACAAAGTGAGCAATATAAGTTGGGAATATTGACTGAAACATATGCTCTCAGAACACCTAAGAGATGAGATAGATTTTCATCTGTACTTTAGTATTGATTTTCCAGAATGGGGCATTTCCTACTATGAAGATGGGACAGACTGAAGGAGAATCTGGATGGGAAGGAACAGAGATCCTGAGGGTTGAGGAAACTCAGGTGACTTATAGACCATGCTTTCCTCTCCTTCCCACCCACTTCTGAATACTTTCTTAGTTGAGAATCAGTGTAGTGAATGGTAAGTGGTATTTTGTTTTTGTATTTTTTCAGTGCTGGGATCAAACCTGGAGCCTTGCAATATGGTAGGCAAGTTCTACACCACTGATCTAAAACCCCCGCCCACTTAATGTTAACATTTCATCCTTTCTGTGGTTCTGACTCTTAATTAAACCAGCTTCAACTTTTAAAGTATTAGTCTAGTTTTAACAGATAAACTTACAACAATCATGCATATTATAGAAATGTTCTTGAAAACAAGGTGATGTTCTACTGTTTTGCAGGGAATTGGTTCTTCCTTGATAAAATGGAGCATCTCATCTTTACAGTTGTGACCAAAATTTACTACAAATATTGGGATCATTTTGTTAGACTTTGTTACTCTTTGTATTACACCCACCTCTCCTTGTGCCCCTCCTGCAAGGACACCATTCGTTTAGCATGTCATTTCAAGAGTTAGGAAATAACTCTCTACAATATACATTCTATAAAAGAAGGAACATAGTGTCTTTAAATCCTTTAGTTTAGAATCCAGAAATAGAAGAGAAATAGATTCAAAGGGATTGAATGAATTGAAATTTGAATACTTTGAATAGTCTCAAGCTATATTGCTGCCATTTCTATTCTGTAGTCATTCTTATGTCTGTGGGCACATATTGTTATTGTAGAACTTTTGAATTGAAATGTTTATTTTAATTCATCTTTTGAATATTTAAATAAATTAAAAAGTTTGTATTATAGAAAATTCAGTGTGTTATAGAATATAAAATAAAATATTAGAATGAATAGAAATCACTTTCAGTTTTATCCCATTATTTTTTGTAATTTTTATATTTAATAGCAGTCAGAATTTTATGTGTGCACTGTTGCACACACTGTGACTATCTAACTTAATTTCCCTTCCAAAGAACCTTACTTATTCTACTACCAGTGCAATGTGTTTAAGTACTATTTGATTAGTTCTTTACATAATGTTGGTGTTAGTACGTCTGTGTAAGTGAGACAGTCTGTGTGGGATTGTTAAAGACTAGAGAGTGAGGGCTGGGGGTATGGCACAGTGGTGGAGTGCTTGCCTGGCCCTCGTGAGACCCTAGATTCAATCCCAGCACTGCCAAAAAAAAAAAAAAAAAAAAATTGAACATTTTTGGTAATTCTAAAAAATCTTGGCAACTTATTTAAAAATCGCAAAATATCTTGTTGAATACTCTTCAGTGTGCTTTATTTTATAAACTTACATTTATTAACCTCAGGTATATGAGATAGCTAACAACTTTGTTAACAGGACACTTGGGATTTACCCAAATGGCAGTCACATGTAGCCAGGATGTACTCTACATATGGAGATTGAAGATATACATCAGCTTTCTTGTACCAAGGATCAAATGCAAGTTCATCTTTTTGTGAACATTTGTATTTGGGTTAGTGGTGGTGGACAGGAGGAGGATTTATACCTGTGTGTTATCAGCTATGTAGATTTTACTCTTGGATGTTATTCTCCAGAGAGTAGGCCATGGGGAACTGACTTATGCCATCCTGGGTCACACAAGCCAGCATGTACCAGAAAATCTTCCTATTCAGATCTTTCTTTCCCTTCTCTCTGGCTGTGTGACATTACTCTGTTGTCCTGATTACTTTATTCCTTTAGGACTGAGGCTAAGAGGGAAGTATTCTATTGTCCCTTATTTGACTGATAAGTCAGATATTTTCTAAGGCAATGAGTACTTTATTTTGTGAAGCATTTAGTTGGTGCCAGGCCAAAGAAAGTAGATACATGACAGTTTAATTTTGAGGTGGGTGTCTCATATGCATGGCTTTGTTTAATCCTTACAATAAGCTTGTGAGATTGAATTATCCTGGTTTTATTTATTTGAAAAATGGAGTTCGGGGATGGGGTTGTAGCTCAGTTGTAGAACACTTGCCTAGCACGTGTGAGGTACTGGGTTCAATACTCAGCATCACATATAAACAAACAAATAAAAATAAAGGTCCATCAACAACTAAAAAATATTTTTTAAAATGGTGTTCAGAGAAGTTAAGAAAGTTTCCCAAGCAAGGACAGAGTAGTTTCTAACGCATGGTAGTAGTCCTAGGAACCACATAATTATATTTCCAGCCTATTCAATTGGATCAGAAGTCTTTTGGAAGTTAGTCAGTCAAGGCCATGACTAATTCCTCCTGAAGATCTCTCCTTTCCACCACAAATTTCTGGGATTACTTATGGACATCTTATTGTGGCCAGCATTACCCACATCCCTGTTGTCCTTGGTCACTGCCCAAACTGTAAGCCACGTGATCTGACCTCTCTTATACTCGCTCCCTATGTCTCTTTGTAATTTTGATATCCCCCCTCACTCTGCCTCCCTTCCTTACTAAGAATTATTATGAAAACATTCTAAGGTAAACAAACATCCCTGTATCTCAACATCTTTTTACTGATGTTCCCC